GAGTGATTTCTCGTGCCAGCACTACCTTTTTGACCTCATTAGTGAGCATGCAGCGCTCAATGCGCAGGACGGTGGAGATATCGATGTGCTCCTGGCAGATGGAGTTGAGCCAGGCAGTGAAACCATCCAGCAGGGCCAGGAAAAGCACCCAGGAGAACTTCACGATGTTAAACACTCGCTTCAGGGTGTTATCTGGAGTGGAGAGATACAGTTGAGGTCAAAAGTTTACATTACATTTTACATTTCAGAATCAGCAAAATGTTAATTATTTTACCAAAATAAGAGAGATCATACAAAATGCATGTTATTGTTTATTTAGTACTGACCTGAATAAGATATTTCTCATAAAAGAGGTTTACATATGTGACCCTGGAGCACAAAACCAGTCATAAGCATACATTTTTGGAAATTGAGATTTATACATCATCTGAAGCTGAATAAATAAGCTTTCCATTGGTGTATGGTTTGTTAGGATCGGACAATATTTTTCTGAGATACAACTATTTGAAAATCTGGAATCTGAGGGTGCAAAAAAATCTAAATATTGAGAAAATCATCTTTAAAGTTGTCCGAATGAAGTTCTTAGCAATGCATATGACTAAACAAAAATGAAGTTTTTATATAGTTACGGTAGGAAATTTACAAAATATCTTCATGGAACATGATCTTTACTTAATAATATCCTAATGATTTTTGGTATAAAAGAAAAATCTGTAATTTTGACCCATACAATGTATTGTTGGCTATTGCTACAAATATACCAGTGCTGCTTATGACTGCTTTTGTGCTCCAGGGTCACATATAGTCCACAATAGAAAATAATAGTTGATTTTATAAAAACGATTCCGTTCAAAAGTTTACATCCCCTTGATTCTTAATACTGTGTAGTTAGCTGAATGATCCACAGCTGTGTTTTGTGTTTAGTGATAGTTGTTCATGAGTCCCTTGTTTGTCCTGAACAGTTAAACTGCCTGCTGTTCTTCAGAAAAATCCTTCAGCTCCCACAAATTCTTTGGTTTTCCAGCACTTTTGTGTATTTGAACCCTTTCCAACAATGACTGTCTGATTTTGAGATCCATCTTTTCACAATGAGGACAACTGAGGGACTCAAACACAACTATTACAGAAGGTTCAAACGCTCACTGATGCTCCAGAAGCAGAAACCATGCAGAATTTGGAATTTGAAGATCAGGGCAAATGTAACTTATTTTGTGTTCTGGGAAACATGTAACTATCTTCTGTAGCCTCTGAAGGGCAGTACTAAATGAAAAAAAAAGAGATTTAGGCAAAATAAGAAAAATGTACTCATCTCCATTCTGTTCAAAAGTTTTCACCCCCTTTTGACCTCAACTATATGCATACTGATGCATATGACGATTGTAACTCATAATATGAGGAGGCTTTTGAAGTTGGTCTCACCTGGACCATCAGATACCTCCTGCTCTGTATCACCTTCCTCCTGATCTCCTTCTTCAATGGCCACATGCACTGCAGATGATGAAAAAATTAGTGTTATTACAATGTAATAAACACATGATAACCGTTTACCCTGATTTGTTACTAGGGATGCACGATTTCTGAATAAATTAAGCAGTATCGATGTCATAAAATCACGAGTCTGTTTTGATTTAAAGGTCAGAAGCTATAGCTTACATGAATAAAAATCAGAAACATGACACATGTAAATTAAATAATTTGATATATACAGATTTATTCAGTAATATTTAATATATTTGTGACCTGTGCTGGCAAAATGAGTCACAATGAGCAAATAATCAAAAATTAGTTATTTTTATTTTGACATGCTTTTAGACCTTCAAAATGATGTACAGTGGGTACGGAAAGTATTCAGACCCCCTTAAATTTGGAATCAGACACAAAATGACTGAGCTACACCTGTTTGAAGTCGATAGAGTCAGCGAAGTCAATTATGAGAAAAAAACTGAGTTAAAGTTTTCTGAAGGTTCCGAAGCAAGATCACCTAGCAACATTTCATCTTGTCCTCCTATTCTTTTCTTAAAGGGGTCATATGATGCGATTTCAAGTTTTCCTTTCTATTTGTAGTGTTACAAGCTGATTGTGCATATATAAGATCCCTGAAGTTGCAAAGACTAAAGTCTCAAAACCAAAGAGATATTCTTTATCAAAGTTAAGACTCTGCCA